TCGCAGAATCCGCTCCGGCATGTGGTCCTGGAGCAGCTAGCAGGTGGGGAGGAGCAGCGGCAGCAGTGAGAAGGGCCAGCAGGGCTTCAGGAGCGTGGGGCCTGGGCCAGTGCAAGCCAAGACCACAGAGCTCCCCTACCCCCACCCCCACCCCCTGCAGCTATCTGTGCCAGGTGCCCTGGAAGGAGCTCCCACTGGAAAAAGTGGGGCACGGGCAGGTGGGTGGCCCCACTGCTTACTCTGCACCAGAGCCCTGCTGCCTTCTCACCATAAATCCCTGGGCAGGCAGGTCCCCCAGGGCCAGCAGGTGCACAGGGCCTGGGCTAGCAAGGCCCAGAGTGGGGCTGCAGAAGGACGGGGTCTGGGCTGGCAGGTGGTACGAAACCAATTATCTTTATTTACATTAAATCCAACGGGGAAATGGGTTTTGCTTAATGCGCTTTCGCTTAGCGCTCAGTTTTTCCAGAGCCAATTAAGAGCTCTAGGTGGGGGTTGCCTGTACGCTAATAAATAAATTTCACTGTTTGCCTTAATAATGCCAATTTAGACTAAGCACTTATTATATGCACTGGTTTGCTTGCAAAATAATGAGAAGTGCAAAGGTAACTCAGCCATAGTTTGCCACCCCCAAAACCACCCACTTACAGTGAAGACACAATCAAAGCCTTTTCAGTGTACAAGACTTCTCTTTTATGAAGAGTTTGCTTAAATATGTAAGCAATTTCATGGACAGAAAATCTGAGTAATTTTCAAAAGGTCATCTTTTCCAAACCGGTTACTTTAAATTTTATACTCCCATTGTACTCTATCTGACATTTGAATTAGTCACTTTTGAAAAGCTGAACTTTAAGGTTGTTACTACCAAAAGCCATTTACTATTTTCTTCTAATGTAATCATTCTGTTATCAGAAAATCATCTCACCTTGTTCTGGTATTTGTGCAGCACCCAGAGCCATGCATATTGCAAGTATGAGGAGGAAGAGTTTCCTAAAAGAAAAACAAAAACATGTTAAAAAATGTAAGTGATCAACAATTTAAACCCCCACTGAGACTCAGACTGCCCTATTCAAAAACCCGTAAAGTCAATGGAAAACTGCCTATTGACTTCAATGAACTTTGGGTCTGAGCAAGGGTGCCTTCAAATTGTAGAGATTTTCACCAAAGCTTTGGGATGTCTTCACATATGGATCAAGGGCAATAAGTTCCCTAAAATTTGACTAAATGCATATCCAAAACCTATATGCTACTCTGGTTCCTATTTGCAAGACAAATATATTAATTTCAAAATCAGTCTGTTTTGTTGTACATGTATTTGAAGGCTGCTATATATTAAATAAATACTATTGTAATGAAATTGTAATTACCTCACAGAAGTTGCACAAGAAATTGTGCGGTGATCATTATGTATTGGACCTACAAGTACCTGTTAACAATGTTATTACTATATTATGTTAGTTGACACAGAAATCATAATGATATTCAGAAGCTAATAATTTTGAAGGAGTTGTGCTTCTTTGTTTTTACTTGATGGCCAATATCACAGCTATAAAATATTAGTGTTTCCACATGAGGCAGCCTGTCTATCAGCAGTATAAAAGTCACAGAACATCCCTGGCTCAGAACTGTATGCTAAGAGAGGCCAATCCCATATCTAGAGATATCCTATTAGTCAAAACTGGATGTTCTTGAACCTATTATTGTTACAGTTAAATATATGCCTGGCACTTGTTTTAAATGAGAAAAAAACCCCACAATTGCTATATCAGTGTTGAACAGAAGGAAAAGAATCATCTGTTACTATGATTAACATTATCTTTGTTTTTTCAGATAATTTTTACCTTTGACCCACACATTAATAGGACTCACCAGATATTTATTTTTCATACAATCTGATTAGCATCTATAAGATTCTGGAAATACCAGACTCTTTTGTGCTTGCTGCATGGTTAAACAGTCAGGTTTGGAAATAGTATACATAAAAACATAATAGCAGCTCTTATTTGTACACTACTATTTAAGAAGAAACACACCCATAGGACAATTGCGGTATTTTACATTACTAGATAGTTATTATGGGGTTGGTTCTATAAGCATTTACTGCCCAGTCCAATCCTTTGCTTACTACTTATCAGAGCAAGGACTGGAAGTGTTTGCTGAAAAAAACCCCTATTATCTCTGGAGCAGCTGGAGAAAAAAAGAAATATAAAAGATCAGATCTGTAATGAAACACCTGTCCTTTAATGAAACTTAAATAAATTTAAGTACTGTCAAGTTATATAATCCACAGCCACATGCAGGGAAAACAACCCACAACTTTTAACTCTAATAGCAGGTTCAAATAGCAATGGTAAGCAAGCTTCTGATGGCTACAGTTAAAACAAAAACAGAAAAGGCTTCTTCTACTAAGAGTTCACTAATGGGTTAATTTAGGCCCAAAATTTAACATACACAATAAACAAGGTTTTAAAACACACCAATGGGAAGAAATGAGCTGGGGGAAAGGGGTTGTGGGTACCATCAGTATCAATAGTATTTTATTTGGATACTAATATTCCTTTACAAAGTTTGCATGCCAAATACTTCAGCAACATACTAGTGCATGAATATCAGGATGTTAAAGTCTATTTTTATTGTCCAAACTGTGAGTGAAACAAAAAAAAACCCAAATACCACAAACATCCAAAAGAAAAAGATTTTTGACACATTTTTAGTTATGGTATTGTCATTTAACTGCCTTGCTTTAAATTAATTAAAGCCAGCATAGGAGAAAAATCTCTAATAATTTTTAAAATTGTGTCCCCTGAAACAAAAAGTACATTTGCAGCAAGTTTGTTTATAAAACATTACTTTCTTGTAAAAAGAATCTACATATCTTGTGCCACTACCAAACCAACACTGTCCAACCTCAGACAGCTGGTGATTCATAGCACCTCACTCTTCTAATACAGTCCTTCTCGAAGACAAATTTCACTCCAGCTCACTCCACCTGGTTTGAGTTCTCCAACAATAGCTATATCAAAGACCAACACCTGTGGCAGGTATGATAGGAAGGAACAGAAGTTTATAGACCTAACAAAATACCACTATGTGGACAAATTTTCAATCTAAATATGTGGCCTGATTTTCATAAGAGATCCAGGAACTTATCTAGACATCTCTATGTGGTTTTATTGTAGGTGCCTAATTTTAGGCACATAAAAGATTTCATGGACAGGTAATCTAGGCAATTGTAATATTCCACAATCTGTATTGCTACAGTACAAGTATAGATACATACATTTTTAAAACTTAAATGCATATAATTGATGGGATTTTGTGATAGGCTCTCACAGAAATTGCATATAATTTCTGAGTGCCCATCACAGAGCTAAGCCTGAGTTTAATGATGAGAGGAGCCCCATGCAGTGTGTTGCACATGTATCTATTATCTAGTTCTTACAGGCACACACACATTTATATTTTAAAACAGCAATTCACATTTGAGTCTCCCCTCTTCCTGCTTTTCCTCCTGAATGACGGAGTCTCCATAGATCTCCTGGCCTTTGCAAACTAAGGGTTTGCTAACTTACTACATAGCCATAAAAAGCCTTTTGCAGCATTTTTAGTGCTCTTCTCAGGATAAACTGTTGTCTGACATCTGTAAGCCAGCTGACACAATGGGTCCATATTTTATTCTTTCATTTCTTCAGACCAGAATTCAAATACTTATGCAAGATGACAAGTGAATGTGAGCACAAGCTAATCCTCTTCATGTGAGTCACACAACTTGGGACCATGTGACTTGTTTGGTGAGAAATCTAAGAACAACCCAAATGTTGAAGGTCAGAATATAGCTGTGGAAGGTCCTCTACCCGCTCAAACTCTGCAAGGGGTCATAACAACACTCCCAAGCAATCACAGCACAAATCATTTTCATCCAAGACTCCATTCAGGATGTTGCAGGAAACCCCCAACATCCTAAATCCTCTTCCTTGACAAACTGATAGATCCATTCACAATACAAGTCAAGATAGCTATCTATGTATGTAAGACATCTGCCTCTTCTCAATCCTAATAAACATTACAGGATGAATTAAAGGATCTTGAAATGCTAACTGTGCTATAAATTACAGAAATGTCACCAGAGAGCCAGGTAGATTAACTGAGAGGGAAAGATAAGTGGTTGTCACACTGCTTCCTAGCTAATGTCAGAAACAGATGGTCAGTTAGACAAGCAAGAAGCGGGGTAACAGATCAAAAACAAGCGTGGGAACGGAGGTCTGTCAGAGGTAGGGAAATCCCATTCCTCTTCCTTCTATACTCTGCAACAGGTAAAACATTTGGTAAATTGAGACTTTCCCACGATGTGCATTTGGCCAAAGGACCTGCTCCATGGCCAAAGTTAAAGAATTCACGATCTTGGGAGTTGTTGGTTGTAGCCATGTTGGTGTAAGGACATAAACAGACAAGGATCTTTGGGTAAACGTGGTATCTTTTATTAGACCAACTAAACAGTTGGAAAAATGTTCTTTGCACGTTTTTGGGCACAAACATTTGAACTCCACTTCTCAGCTATTTACAACTAGTTATCTCTTAGTACTGTGAAGAGCCAGTTGTCACTCATGTTACTTACATAAGCAGTTCCACTGAAGTCAACAGGGCTGCTTGTTCCACAAGGCATGAAAAAATTTGTGTCTAAAATGGATCAATTTTATTTTCATACAGGTTCCTAGAACAGTTTATTTGCTCTTGCTAATAAGTCAGTTAGCTTCATGACTCTAGCAATGTTGATGATCAAACCTCAAATTACAAGAAAGATCTTAATACCTGCACAGAGTACTTATTGAAAAATAAGTTATAATAACAGTGGTAAGCATTTAGATATAAAAAAACTCCTTCTACAACACAGTTGCACTAGGGTAATCATTAGGGTGTTGCAAAGCTTCGGTCCCCAATTTGATTTGGCAGAGGTTTGGCCTGATTCAGTGGCCAAATCTCCAAATCTGAAGCGAATCAGAGGACCCTTTAATCTCTCCGAATTGAATCAGAACCTCTGAATCGATTCAGAGGTTCGGACATAGAGACAGCTTTAAATGTTTTTTCTACATACCTCTAGGTAGCAAGGGGCTTGTGAGTGCTACGATGCTGGGGTGCATGGAGTGTCCCACAGGAGTGCGGGGGGCTCCTCAGTGCGTTCGACAGCAGACCCAGAAGTGGACCAGAAGCACTTCTGATCCACTTCCGGGTTCATCACCGAGCACATGGAGGTCCCCCTGCCACTCCCGTGGGATGTTCCATGTGCCCCAGCATCGCAGCAATCACGAGCCGCGCCTGCTATCTCAACGTATGTAGAAAAAAAATTTAAAGCTGCGTCTATGTCTGAATCACTGATTCTCTGAATCAGCATCGAATCTTCAGATTCAGAATCAGCTGAATCGAAACAGGGACAGTAATCCAAATCAATGAATTGAATCACTGTCCCTGATTTGGGCTAAATCCGAATCCGAATTGAATAGGGCACACTTCGCACACCTCTAGTAATCATAATCCAAGTTTATCTGCCTGCACACATGCATCAGTACTGTTCAGGAAGGACCAAATTCCATACTCTCATTTAAGATATTGCTGAGTGTCCATGCAGGTCACATAAACTGCAAACCTATAATGGCAAGGGAACCAAATTGGAAAGTGTCAAAGGGCAACACATCCTGGCACAGCTGATCTGCTTCATTTGGCAATGTCTATTTCTACCCTGAAGGAAATCTCATGATTCCTGCTTCAAACCATCATCCACAAATATAAGGAACTCTATCCAAAACAGCAAGAGCGCCCTGCAACATGTCATAGGTTAAAAAAAAACAAAAAATGGTGGCAAGTGCACTGCTAATGTCCCACCTCTGCAACAAGGAAGTAGTTAGTTAATTATGCTTAGAATATCTTAGGAAAAGGACTAAAGAGAAGGCAACCATCCCCCACCACCCCAAGGCTTAACAGAGTTGGCACCCTGG